ACCTCCCAAGCCTCAAAAACTTTGATTTCCTCAAAATCTCCTCTTTGGATCTTTGGTGAAATCATTTATTCTTGGTACGTAAGCATAGCCCTCGTCAAGGTGATCGACTTTAACTCTTGGTTCGAAGGATTCCGACCGGTGGAACTCTGTGAATCATAGGGAGAAGGTAGAAGTTTTAATTTTTCTTTTCTCTCTTCTCTCTCTTTCTATGCTAACGTGTGAAACCAGCTAATCAAGTGGGGAAGATCAGATATTTTCCCCTCTTTATAGTCTTTAATTATGTGGTCCATTATGCACCGCACGTTTCCTATTTTCGGGTATGTTTTTGTCCCGAAACAAATTAATTTCATCTCGGTTTAAGTTCAAATTAATTTTATTTGAAATTTTTTTCAATTATAAGAAAATTTTATAAATTTTATTTCGGGGACATTTGTGAGGTCACCAGACACCCAGTTGTCTCGTAAAACGTGAAAAAATCGACTATCTCAAAATTCGACAAAACTTGACAGGATAACTAGATTTCGCAAGACGAATTCAATGGTGAGGTCTGTTGCATCATCCGAGCTCTAGAAAAATACGGATTTTAAATTCACATTATAGTGACAAATTACTGTTTTGCCCTTTTTTAGAAAAAATTCAAATTTACCCACGTTTTACAGCACATCACTAAGACTTCTCATTTCCTTGGAGTTGAACATGGAGATAAAGTGCTTGAACTTGTGGAAGTAGAAGGAGATGAAAGAGAGTTGGTTGTTGGAGATATTTGTGGCGGAACTTCAACTTTTTCATTTTCATTTCCATGCTCAGATTTTTCTTAATCTTCATTTGCTACAACCACTTGATTTTGAACACTCTTTTCTTTCCAATTTCAAGAGTCCTTCTTATTAACGGGAACATCTCTACAAATAATCACTTTGTTTCTGTTTAAACTAAAGAGTCTATAACCCCTTGATTTAGAGCTATAACCCACAAAAATACATTTTTCACTACTTTCATAAAATTTGTACCCCACTTCTTTAGGAACTTGTGCAAAACAAATTCACCCCAAAACCTTATAGTGGTTCACTGATTGCTTCCTTCCACACCATGCTTCAATCTAAGTTTGGTTTTTCAAAGCTTTTGTTGAACACCTATTCATCAAGTAAACCGCCGTGTATAATGCTTCGGCCCAAAATGATTTAGGTAAACCCTTCTCATAAACCATCAATTTAGCCATCTCAACAATGGTTCTATTCTTTCTTTTGGCCACTCCATTTTGTTGTGGAGTATACCCAACCATCAATTGTCTTTCCATACCAATGTCTTTACATAATTTATTAAATTCATTAGAGTTTTACTCAGTACCTCTATCACTTCTTAACAACTTAATGTAATGTCCACTTTGCCTTTTAACCAACTTTTGGAACTTCTTGAATACTTGAAAAAATTCGGAATTTTGTCTCATAAAATAAATTCAAGTCATTCTTAAAAAATCATCAATAAATATTATGAAATATTTGTTACCTCCATGAGAAAGTGTTCTTGATGGTCCCTGTACATCAGTATGAACAAGCTCTAACGGTTTGACTCTCCAAACATTTTTTTTTTTTTGGAAAAACATCTTGATGATGCTTTTTAATTGCACATTTTTCACAAACTTCTTTAATTTCTTATATAGATGGAAATCCATAAACCATGTTCTTTTGTTGCAGAATCTTCAAGCTTTGAAAGTTCAAGAGCCCACATCTTCTATGTCAAAGTCAAGAATCGTCAACAATTTATATCTTCAAAGAAACATTGTTTGAATACCGAAAAATGAGAGGAAAATTTATGTTTTTGTCCATCTTAATTTTTGCTATAAATTGTTTTTTCTCTCCGTAATCATAGATCATGCAAGAGCAGTCCTGAAACACCATGGAGTACCCATGCTCTACAATTTGACCAATACTCAACAAATTTTGTTCCAAATCTGGTACTAACAAGACATCTTGGATGTATCTTGTTCATTTCTTTGTTTCAATAGTAATGGTTCCCTTGCCTTTTTCTTGAACCGACACCATTTTTCATCCTTACTTAAGAATTAGAAGTGGTGTCTATGTTCACAAAAATATTATCACCATTGGTCATATGGTTACTACAACTACTATCAAGATATTATACATCGTTCCTTTGCTCGGACATTGCTTGACAAGTATAGAACAAATTTTCACTACTTTCTTTCTCTTTAGAAAAATTAGCTTGTTGATTATTCCACAACCACTATCAAGATATCATACATCGTTCATTTGCTCAGACATTGCTTGACAAGTATAAAACGTATTTCCACTACTTTCTTGCTCTTCAAAAAAATTAGCTTGTTGATTATTCTTTAGCCGACAATCGTTTTGCAAATGATCAAACTTTTTGCAATTAAAACATTGAGGCTTTCCACGAAACCAACAATCTTTATCAACATGACTTGATCTTTTGCAAATTCCACATGTTTGTTGAGTGGATTCTTCATTTGATCTTCTTTCAAACTTTCCTCTTCCTCTTCCTCTTCCTCTTCCAAATCTTCCTCCACTAAAAGATTTACCTTTAGATTGATTGGAACTCAACGATTCATGACTTTTAGAGTCAAAATTAAGCTTGGATTGAAAAGAACTCTCAACAGATTTTTCAGCATGCCTACTCAACCTTTGCTCAAATGCTTTAATAGAACTCAATAAATCTTGAACACCCAAAAAAGAAATATATTTGGTTTCTTCAATGATGGAAACAATATAATCATATTTTTTTGACAAACTAACCAAAATTTTCTCAACAGTTCTTGAGTCCAAAATTTTGTCTTCATAAGTTTTCCTTTAATTTACAATCTTCATAAGTCTAGAGAAGAAATCATTTAAAGATTCATTCTCTTTAATTATACTATTCTCAAAATCTCTTCTGAAGGATTGTAGTTTTACGGCTCTTACCTTTGTAGTACCACGATACTCATCTTGTAAAGTGCCACATGCTACTTTTGATTTTGTAGCATTGATAATTCTTGAAAAAATTATATCCATTACTCCTTGTTAAATCAAATGAAGAGTCTTTGCATCCTTCTTTTTTGTTTTCCTTTAATTGGTTCATTTGAACCATTGTCACCTCTTGATTGGATCTTCATGTCTAATTTCAATCAAATCCCAAAGATCATAAGAGAGAAATATAGTTTTCATTTTCATATACCAATAATCATAAGTTTTACCATCAAAGCCAAAAAGGCAGTTGTTGTGCACTAGTAGATATGTTGATTCCATTTGTCATTTCGATCTTCTTCACTAGAACTTTGTTTATCCAATGAAAATTTCACACCCAACTAGTTAGTGTCGAACTAGCTCTGATACCACTTATGTCGGCTATAATTTCAGTCTTTGCATATTTGTGATAGATAAAACAAAGACAATATAGCTTAGTCTTTTGGAATAATTTTCTATACATGTATTTATTATTTTCAACATACATATAAGTTGCAAGATACATCTTAACCACTCATTTTGCTAGAACATTAACCACATAACAAGACCCAAGACTCAACCACTTGTATTCCCAAATCAACTAGATACACTTAACAATAAGTATTATCTAATATGCTATTTTTAACACAAATGAGAAAATGCGCATGAGATTTTTACATGAAGAGGTGTGACACTAAGTTCCATGACGTTCAGCATAAGCTATTGATTGAACTAAATTGAAACTACATCCAAAACTAGATGAAGAAATTGACACTAAAAATAACTTTAGCAACCAAAGTAAGAATCAAGGTAAACTTTGAGGATGAAATTTGTAACACCCTTCTCTAATTAAGGTTGAGGTTTCTAAGTTAAACACTAAATTTCTTGAAGGAGAAATGATTGAAAATTTCTAAACCGTGTGATGATATTTTGGCCAAAGCAACTATTAGATTAATCTGCATAGGGACTTAAAAAATTGACCTAATTTTGTTGGCCTAATGATGTAACAATAACGTAGTCCAATAGTATTGTTGTAACTGTAACTGTTATGTTCTGTTTGAGGCGATGAAAAAAAGAAAGATTGGAAAGTTAGAAGAATGAAAAGTTAGAGGGATATATAAAATATTATGTTTGATAAGATAAAAAAACAAAAACGATAGAAAAATGGATGAATGAGTTTTCCTTCAAACTCACCAAAAAATAATCCCTCCAAAATTAGAAGGAAAATAAATGAAAAATTAATTATATGTGTTGAAATATATCTTATTAGTTTATATATCATTTGATTTATACATATATTAAGTATACATTAATTTCATATATAAATACAATGATAAAAAATGTATTCATATATTTTTTTTAAAAAAAAATTAAAATTTAAAATTAAAAAATATTTTTTTCATCTTACCAAGCACAAAAAAAAATTAATTATTTTTATTTTTGATCCATCCTACCAAATAAAAAGAAAGGAAACTATATCATTCCTACTTTTTTTTCTTAGAGGATAGAAAGTGTATCTCTCCTACTTTCCATTTTTATTTTTCATTCATCCTACTAAATGGAGCATTAGGCTATTTCATTGGGACCCAATCTCTTAACTCATTATTAGGTCAATAAATAAAATTAAAATTTTAGATTCTAATAGCATTACTCTTTTATATAGGTAAATTGCTTAGTAGTAGTATATAATATGTAATTTATGATGGAAAAATTAACCTAAAAAAATATTAGACAGATTCTGAATCCAAAGTAGAAGAACCATAATGAATGATTGCTGAGGAGTCCCATAATTTTCAAGTTGCTTGATGAGCCCGTTTGCCTTAAAATACTGCGAGACGGGTGCCTTTTCAGAAGCACAAGTAGAAATTATTCAAAACCTCCTGTCACTGTGCTTAGGTTACTGTTACCACCTTATTCAAAACCTCCTGTTACATTGGCATTCGCGCATTTGACACAGAGACTTAACACAGAAGCCATAGAAATATGCATTAATGTCCCATCGACGGATACCCTACTCATATGATCCTTCTATGTGCTTTTGTATCTCTAATCGAATGTAACAGCCTGACTGTAATCACCATGTTCTGCTTCTTGTAAGTAGTCTTCTCGGACATTGGTCACAAACATAAGAGAGAGCAACCAGAAAAGAGAAGCGTCAAGGGACACAAAAGCTCCACCACCAACAAGACCTGTCTTAGCCGTTGGGCAATCTCTTTCAAGATTGCTGTGAACATTTTGAATCAGGTGAAGGTGCTCCGTGATTGTAGGCCATAATACCATTGCTGCAGCCAATCCGCTTGTGCCCCTATATATGGTTTCAAATAAAAGAATGTTAATCCCCTCAAAAAAGTAAGATTACTGGTAAGAATCATTGGCTAATAGTGGTTTCAAATAACCACATAGCACCTCAACTCAATTCAATTCACAAAAATCTAGTTTTAAATTTTTTTGATAAACTACATGAATCATCTTTGGTCATTGTACTCTATTAAAAGAAACTTACGGACCTCAATATACCCAAAAAATAAAAATTAAAAATTAGGGCTAAGTCCTCCTAGATGAACTTATAATAACTTCAGTCCGTCAAAGAAATTTATTTGGTGATAAATCCGTTTTTTATTTTACTAATAAGTATTTAAGTCCACTATTTTTTAAAATTCCAAAAATACCCTTAACAATATTATTCTATTTAATTATAAAACCTTAAAGACTTTGATAGTAGCTTTAAATTAAAAATTATTATCCCTTAATTCACTCCTAAATTAAAATTGAAATTGAAATTTATATTCTCGCTCTCTCTCTCTTGCATTAGAAGAATAGTTTCACTCTAAGTACAATAAATCTTTGTCCTTAAATATGATTTTTTCCTCCATATTATCAAAATTAGTAGGGTTTAAAATATCATCAACAACTATCATATCTTCTACTATGATGTAGTTATCATGAACTTCTATGACGTTGGTTTTCTGAAAAAAAAAAAAAAAAAAGTTGAAAAACTTGTTGAATGTATTATTAGTTTGATCCCTAATTTTATTTTAATTTTTTTGATAAATAATCCCCAAATTTTTCAATATTTCATTTTACTACGTTTTTTGTTGACAATTTTACTATTTTTTATAATTGACCATGTTACTATTTTTTATTGAGCATATTTTTACTTTTTCGGTATTACTTTTTTGGATGTTGAAGAATTGGAGGTTTCGTCCTCTAGTTATGGGTTGGAATGCCTCTATTTATATTTTTAATTTTGTTTAATGTTCCATATTGCTAATTTTTTTTTTCGTTTAGCATGTAACTGTTTTTGTTAAACATGTTATTGTTTTTATTGAACATGTTAGTATTGTTATTTTTTTAAATATTAATATTGAATGTTACTATTTTTTTTTATGTTTAAATATTACTATTTTTTATTTTTAATGTTTATATATATATATATATATATATATAAGAAAGATATAGTTCTAACTTATATATGAATATATATAGATATGGTAGATAAATTTTTTTAATGTTAGTCAAATTCTTAAAATTTATGAGTTTTTAATTTTTACTTTTACTTCACCTTTAAAGGGAAATGAAAGTCGCTAGTGGGTACCTCCTCCTTTGAGTGCAAGGGCTTATATGCGAGGGGGGAAGACGACTCTCTTCCGATGTGGGATTGCCTTAGAAAAGGGTCATGTTGGCGAAGAGAGGTAAAGGCTACTGGGGCTCAGTGCCGCCAGGTCAGCCGGAATCGTTCGAGTGGAAGGATGAGATCCGTAGCGATTTCTACCCTTACAGTAACCTATGTTATTTGAATTGGATATTCTAAATAAGGCTAAATGATACAGTGCGAAAGGTAGGAAATAAAGGGAAGAAAGTAAATAGAAATGAGAGACTGAGATATGCTTACAAAGCCACATTGAAGAATGTGGTGAAATAACCACTTTGAAATGCTGCAGCTTGTGGAATAGATATCCCATTATATGGATAAAACAAAGAGTAGTATCCAGCAGCAGTGGATGCCGTGAGAAGCACAACAGAGATATATCCCAAGACTACTGTTGAATTAGATGGATACTTGCAAATAACAACATCATTTCCTGGAATTGGATCTCCAACGGCAGGCTGTAGAGACCAAAGGAGAAAAATGGAAAAATAAAAAAATAGGTCAGAACTAATACAAAAATCATAACTTCCAAGTAATATGTACTTCTAGTCTTCGATCAAATATCTCAAGACCATTGTCGTCATAGAAGCATATGACATCTGATCAGGGAACACACAAAAGGATACCTTAACTCAAATGTATGTATGTTCCATTTAAGTTCATGTATGACACTTGTTATATTTAAGATTCCATCATATTTTAACGCAGAGTCATCCATCTATCTTTTCATTGATGGTCATGACATTATTGAATCTATGGTAAATTATAATCATCCAATGAGACCAACCGAGCTCCAATCTCTGCAAACCAAGTTTTTCATCTCAAATAAGTGAATTTAGTTGCGAGTGGAAACTAAATCTTTTTAGGAAGCATATGGAGTAATGCGTTCATCATTATTAGCATACAATAGGTATACCTTCTTAATTTCAGCATAAATTCCACATATAAATGACACGATGCCAAGGAGGGCCACTGTCACAGCCATCTGTTTGGGGGTAAATGCCATTATAACCTCTTAAATTTCAACCAATATTTCCTGATACACCTGCAAGGTACAATAAATTTGTACGCCTATGTCAATCGTAACATACAAAATGGAAAGAAAGGAAACAAGAACGAAAATCAGAAATGGAAAATGACATTTACATCATGCAATATCGTCCAAAACTACAAAAAACTAGAGGTATATATAAACTGAATACCTATAGTTGGGACAACCCTTTATTGAGCCGGGTATAAAACATTAGAATGCATAAGGAGTTAGATTTTCTTTTTCATTTTTCTTTCCCTTCTTTTATGTTCTTTCTTTCTGGATATTACTTATACTTAATTTAGTGACGTTATTTGGTGGCATAATAAATCATAACCCTTGAATTAATAGTAAATCCCAACTAATAATAAGGTCCACCACCAATCTAATGAATAAGATCACTAAATAAGGTTTATGTAGCATTACTCTTCTTCTTGACTATGTCGAGCAGATGATTGGACAGAAGAAAAACTATCAACAGAAAACAAAAACCATTAAATGCCACAGACTTTAGATGCTTCAAATTGTACTAGCAAACATTAGTGTCAAGCAATAAAAATGAAATGCAACGCTGTCCTAGTATAGTGGTGCAGACATGGGATAGAATTCAATTCTTACCAACTAACTTAAAAAATATTAATCAAAATAAAATTCGCAATTAATGAAAGAATAAGCACGAAGGCATAAAAGTAAACCAGGAAAAATTAAATGAAAGATATTTCAATTATAACTATTGACATGATAATAGTAAAAAGAAAAAATGAGCAGAATTTTGAATACCCTTTTTCTTCCCTCTCTTCCTGAGAGTATCAGGCAATTGTTGAAACTTGAAGGAATACCGCTATGCTGAGTCTCTCT